AATTATTGAATGTGTTTTAGGGCACCATCTTCTGGTAGACAGAACACATTGTAGTTGAATGGCTACCTTTGCTAGGCACAAGTATTTAAAATATTTTTGACTAACACTGCTCTGCAGGCTTACAGGCTGTTTCTCATTCTAAATCTGCAATAAAACGCTATTTAACATTTTTTACATTCTTCTTATTCATTGCAAATGCAGCTATTCACTGTGCTGCACAAATACAACTTGGGACAGAGCCTGTAAAATTCCAGTCACAACAGGCACTTTGTGAACGTGCTAGGTTAGACAGACAACATATGTCCAAGCACTTACGATTAATACACCATTTATGTATCTTATTTCTTTAATAGTTTAATCTTCTGCTTCTCTTACATATTTCAGATGATAACACTCTGGCCAGAGCAGTTTATTGGCTCATACTTAGGAGACTGCACGTGGCCTTAGTCATACCTCCTTGCAATCACAGGACATAATCACTGTATATTCCAACACAATCAGTTAGGTTGCTAGCAGCCACCACACTTGCATAAATAGATAATTTAGTTGGCCAGCGCAGTTAGCAGTGCACCCACTTAGTACTTCTAAGGAGGTCTTAGGTTATATAGCTTCGTGTTTCAGAGACTTGGAAATACAAAACCAAACTTGGGACTCTACAGAGCTAAAATTATCTTGACGTGAGGAAAAGAAAGTCCTGATTACAATACTGCAAACCATCATCTGGAAAAAAAAATCAGATGCCATTAGTGCATTTAATAAAAAATAGACACACTGTGCGAGGGCCAGACTGCTATACATGTGCTCCCCTGTTCTCTGCTAATGAAAAGTACCAGACCAACTGTATGCGCCTCTTTACGCGGCAGGCTACGAGCACTGACTTCCTGACCTGACAATACAACACACTTCAGCTGTGGTCAGGATCGTTTCAGAAGAGGACATTGGTTTGTTGAGAACACTAATTACATTTACATGTCGTGGTATTTCCCATATAAAATGGTATTATAGAGACAACACCTGTTAACCGGACATAATGAACACATTTGCAAGAAGTATAGAGCTGGTCCATAAGCAATGGAACTAATGAAGGCCCACATACTGCCTTCTCTCTGTCCCCTTTGCAATATCCACAGCTCCTAGCTGCCTCCAAGCTTCTTGTTAGGTATCTTAGCCACCCTTTTCCCCAAGCACACTCCTGCTACCTCCAGTTACCACTAGTTAGATGTGCAAAATGCAGCAAACTCCCACGTGGACTTGCATACAGGTAAGTACCACACCTAAAAAGGCTCAGTGCTGCTGCAGCAGCACTTCTGTGGGTCTGTCTCTCCTTACCTACAGCCACTTACCTGTAGAGTTGGAGTTGCTTTGAGATCACTGGTGTAATTGCTTCATTGTTTGTAAGTAGCTTCAAATGTTGCTGGAGAGGACTGGCAGTGCAGTTCTGTGAGTATCTTTTCTGTAGGAAATCATACCGCAAATTTCTCACTTTTTCTCATGTGAGTGAAGAAGTATGCTGATGAGAAAGACCAATAATGTGTACTTAAACAGCAATCTTCTTCTTGTACTATAAACTGCTATCAAGATACATCTAGAAGTACATTTATTTACTTCATCCCATTCCCACCTTAAAGAAAAATCAAGGCCTCCAAAATTGCCCGCTCCCCCCACTCCTTTGTCTGTGGGTGTATGTTCTCTGTAATCATTCTGCCTTAGACACTAGCCCAGAAATAATCTCAGGCAAGCAAAAAACAGATGACTGCCTTGGGTAAGATTTGTCGTATTACTCTGATCCTTGTTTCTACTTTCCTGCATGTTCAGTATTTTAGATGCACAAAATTAAAGGCTTCTTGTCCTTCTAGCTGCAAAGCGAAGTAAGAAAATAATCTCTACCTATGGGCACAGAAACAGAACACAGGGAAAAAACAAATCTGTTTTCCTGAAGTCAGTGTTTATTCAGTTTTCTAACCCAAATTTACAATTTTGGGGCAGTAGAAATAAGGCTTGAAGCGGATAATATCAATGGTGTATATGAACTGAACACAAGCCTGTTTTATCTTCTGGGATCTAATAAATGGTTAGCAAGAGGTCTTTGTCGTAAAGGTCAGAACTTGAAATGGCACATCAAGCTGCTTGCCAGCTGCCAGAGTCAACAGGCCAGGAAAGCGAGCGTCTCTCTCTCTGGCTCAACAATGAAATGGTTTCATAAAGTAAAATGAAAATGTCACATAGAGCTACCGCAAACATTAAATGGTTATCTACAGGTTAAAGCTGCTCTTTAGGAAATGGGCTGGGCTGGTACAAGGCTGGCTGTCCTCATGGCCCCAAAAGTTCTTTCTCCTGAATGGCTATCAATTGCCCCTTAAGGGCTATTCTCCAGATGTTCTGAGAATCAGATAGGTTGCACTTCTGTTGTTTTTAACAGTAAGATTGTGGGAAAGTCGTTACAAATTTCTTCACCACAAGTCAGAGCATCTTAATGAATCTCTGGTTAACTGTTGTACGTCAATATTCCTTTCCATGCTCCACTGCAGAAAAGGAATACTGAACTAAGAGCATCCAAAGACAGGTACCAGATACACTCTCAGCTGCATTCAACGATGCTAAAATACTCCATTATTTTTCTTGTCCTTTTCATACATGGCACTCAAATTCACTAAGTAAATAAAAAATACAAGCGTCAGGAATTAATTGTGACTATTTTCTTTTCAGCAGCCAGAGCAGCTTATCCGCGTTACAGAAATTTGCATCAGTATAAACAAACAACTAGAGAATGCTGTGTGACAGAAGACCCAATTTGTATCACTGCAAATAGCAATTTGTAGATTGATTTAATGAGCCTGGCTCAAGAAGTGTTAGCAATGATAGAGGTTGCCATCAGGGTTGCCAAGCTAAGGCCCTGGGAAGAATTTCTCCTCCATTTTAACATTTAAATCTTGTGTCTTCCAACCATGCTTACTTCCATATTAATATTTCTGCTATTAGGACTTGAACAAATTGTCAGTTGAAAAGTGGCTTGCTTTTTTTCTTTTTAATTACTTGAAAGCTTAATAAATGCTTCAATTTATAATTTGCTCTCAAGGGCAAGAGAAAGTTTATGTTGGAAAATTCTACATTAATACAATGTTGGTGACTAGTAGCCAATTAAGGACATTCATACTCCATCAGTTCTGAAAAGCAGTTTTTCAGTTGGCACAGAAGCAGTTTGTATTTTTAGTGGTTCATTTGCTATTGCCAAACTTAAGAAGAACTGAATAGAACAGCTGACACTATATGAACAGCCTATCATATGTTCTATAGAAGCAGCCTGTGTAAAGAAAATATCTTTAAAATCATTCACTTTGAAGTATTTCACAGGAAGGCTCTGGGAGCGTTTTTTTGCCATCTAACTACTTACTACCCAGACAAAAGCAGCACAATTACATCTCCTAAATACATCAACATGTAATTGCTTATGTAGTTAAATTCTAGAGTATCTTTCATGCTGCAAATGACGATGCATCGTTAAAGTTACTTAACGCTTCTCTAAAACTTAACCTAACCAGTGTCCTGCAGTGGTACCCCCCCATCTAAGATACAATGCCTGTTAATTCTGAACATTTTTGCAATCTGGCCTTACTGACGGAGTTGTCTACCACCCCGAGAAACTATTAGGTGTTTCTTCTGGGTCAGCAGCACCCCGAATACTTTAAGAAATCATTTGAGCACTGTCATCTTATGCTGTTAACACTAAGAACTTAAGGAGTAGAAGCCAGTGAGACTGGATAGCCCCCTCCCCTTCTCCTTTTCACCCTCAAATCTGTTGTTGCATGTTATTTCAATTTAGCTTATATACCACTCAACTTCTAAGTCATGAACACTCTCAACTTCAGTAAAACTAATGCAATAAAGTTACCAGAATTACAGCCTCTACTGTTAAAATAGAGTTAGAAGGCTGAATTCCCAAGTACTGACCAGTACAAGCAGGGACATTTCTCAGTGAGACAGGATCACACCATCCATCACATGTGCCATCAGCTTCGAAACAGCTTTGTCGTGTCACAGTGAGAAGCACATCTTACTATACAGATAACAGGCTATTCGACAACTCATTTAATAAACCAATAACCTTATTTTCAGTAAAGCTTAAAAAGCACGTCAGCCTTAACTTTTGGAAGATGTAATCAGACATGCTAAATGCTAGTGCTTCAACTGTTTATGGAAAGAACTTTTAAAGTTTCCTATTGTAGCACTGAAAATCCTTTCTGTAATGCCTCTTATTTACATCTTTACCTCTCAGTCTTCACTCATGCTGGCCAAGAATCAACTAACTCAGAAGGATTTAATTTCACAGTGGAGTATTCTGCCTCCAAACAGGCCACTGCATATGACTATTACTACCTAAAAGAGAGAAAACATTAATTGCATCATAGAATTGCAGTTTTGCACTTGCACTGGCAATTTAACACTGACGGAAGAGCTGGCCTTTGTACTAGATAGAACCAGATGCAGGAACCAAAACCTAAAAAGGTGGGTTTTTTGGTTTTTTTTGTTTTTTTTTTTTTTTAAACGTTCTCCTTTGATACAGTTAACATCTTGTTTAAAATTCAGTTTGCAAACTCTAACAGAATAAATCTTGTCTGCTCAATTTCTCTGCTCTGTAAGGCTAACTGCATACTTATCTATGAATAAAAGCACTTTTGGTTCACTAACACAAAGTTGGAAAGTAATTTCAGTAGAGTGACAGAAATGGCTGATTAATGTGTTCTAAGAATCAACACTGATAGCTTTGAGAGCTACTGAAGTAGTTAAATGAATATAGTAGGCTTTAAGATACTGATTCTAAACACTGCACTTTTGTCCTATGAACAAAGCGTAATGTATAGAAGACCAGAGCTTGCTTCTTTTTGAAGGCATGAGATGGTGAAAGCACACATGTGGTGGGGTGCAAATGCTCCAACTGAAGAGGCCAATAATTGATTGTCCAAGAAAAAACATTCACAAAAGTTTTATTAAAAAAATTCCCCTTTCACCTCAAACAAGTGAAGCTTAATTTCTGTACTACTAGGTTATGTTTAGAAAAATGAAAATAATACAGTAATTTTTGAAGGCTATACATTGTAAAATCCCATAAGTCAGCATAAACTTGGACTGTGCAAGCAAATATAGCAAGTATTTCAGATGTCATTTATTTGGTCCGTCAGATGTACAGTATAGTAGTAGTATCTGAGTTTACAAAACATCAAATATAAATAACCTGAAACTGTAACAATACACAAAAATTTGCTTCTTACATTGACATACCAGGCAGTACGAGCTGAAAAACTTGAGTAAATTAACAGTTTTACAGTAATGTACATAGTGCCGGTTGAAGTTTAAGAACACTGCTAAAACATGGCACTAATTTGCTTTCTTGAATTTTCTTCTTTACTTGGTCAGGGTGTGAAAAATGTTTAGGACTAGGCTAAAAATATTTTTTTCAAGCAAAAATTAAAAATGTAATTACCTAAAATCTGGGCATCGGATGATGACCTTTTACTAAGCGAGAGTAGGGTTTTTTTGTCCTATTGAATTATACCTAAAAGGTATTTACACAAAAATAACATGCTTTTCCCATGACTGTTTAAGCAAATACTTATCTGTAAGTATTTATAAACTATGGTTTTACTACATTTAATATATGGAATTAACATGAAAAAACTTCTGAAAGTCTATTGAGAGAAGAGCTTTATCATCAAGAGAAACGGACACAAATTATTTAAGCCAGTGGTTTGGTATTCGCTTGGAACAAAGGCCTTAAAATTAGTCTAGTTCTGGACATTTTTCACATCCCAACGTAATATGCTGTTACTGTATTACATTATCCGAATCATTTTGTCAAGGGGCACTTGCATGTTCAGTCTAATGCTATAATTTCATCTTGCTCTTCTGTCTGGTCAGTACGCACTCTCTTTGTACTAACGCACTCTTTATCTTCTAGTTTTCTCTTGCGGCTTTTGTTTTCCATATCATCATCAACATTGCTTGAAGTACCTTCATCTTCAGAATCAACAATCAATAGATCGTCCTGATCTGGAGCTGCAAAATACACGTTTTTAATTCAAATGGGCACTGCAAAGATAGTCTACTCTCAAACCAAGTTTCATACATAAGAACGTCTCTAATACAACAAATACATTTCGGAGGATTCTTTATATGTATTCTTTGTCATTCAACTGCAAGAGTATTTCAAATGTCTCTGAAATCAGTATAAAATAGGCTTTTCACATGGTTATTCTCTCTTCACTAGAGGTATGGAAAATATTGCAATAATGCCAAAATACAGGAAATGCATTAGCTAGCATTATTTTTTTTTTGCAAGTACAAAATAGAAGAACTGCCTGCTATTTGCTAACTTTTACACACCCTGAGCTGTAGTCCAGCCTCTCCTTTCACTAGTGCATTCAACAGAACTCCCACTAGAAGCCATGCTTCCTGAGAGAGAACATGCAAAGAGAGGGTGGAGTGGAAGGGTGAGCAGACGTAAAAGAGCTAAAGGATAGCAATGGATAGTAGAAAGAGGGGAAAATAGAACCAAACATGAACTTTCAAGACATCTATTGGATTTTGTTTGTTTTGAAGTACAAATTCACTGTAAAAACTAATTTTATGCTAGGCTGTTTTTTTTTTATATAACTTGAAATCAGTTGTAGCAATATCCTTAACATTTAATCTCCCCTGAAACAAGAGGCGAGTGGAAATCAGTACACACTTGTGCATCTATCTTAAATAGGGCCATCTGACAGGCAAAGGAACATCATCCAAAAGTGTAAGACAGAACTACGGATATCTAACTTACATGACACCACAAGTATTCAGATTCATACGCTATCCCTGTAAAACAGTATGACGTTTCCAGTACACTAGCTTTCATTTGAGTTAAAACTATTTTGAGTATGTTCAAAGAAACACCCTACATAGGAAGGTGATGGCACTTCTTCCTCGATAGCAAATACTAGACAGAAAGTATTATTGCCATGCTTTGCTTGACAGGTGAAAAATAATTATTCTGTAAGCAGATAATAAAGACATCTTCTTAAATAAACAAAATAAAACGTGGTCAAAGACATCCAGAGTAATTTTTAATCTGTAGGCAGGAAGTGACAAATTTGGTTGATTTTGTCAAGCAATAGCGTGACCATCGGGTAGAATGGGTCTAACTTTATTTAAATCATTGTGCAAATGATGTGCTTAAGCTGACACCCCATGAAGCCCTTGCAAATTAAATAACATAATTCAAGGTATATTTCATGTAAACCGTTGCAACAGTCTTAAATGTGCATTTTTCTATTTAATATTATATACAGAGGCAACTTAAATGCCTTTTATTTCATGTTGGCAAAGTTAAGTCACACCAGACAACTATTTTAATTGCACTATTGAAAGACTATTTTGTTATATTTAATACTGACTGCTGTTATTTACCTGTTGATGTTGAGGGTTGCGCTCCATCGTCACTACCATTGGTAATGTTCTTGGATGTTGGTTCTGATTGTTTAGGGCCAACTTTTTCAGGGGTATCACCAACAACTTCAAATTCTACATCTTTTTCTAGGTCTTCACTAAAGAAAAATCCATAGGCTTTTAAACAACCAGGTAAAAATAAAAAACTTTTTCACAAAGTATGTCATTCAAGTATTACAGCACCCTGCAACTATACAAAATGAGAAAAACACATTTAAAAAAAGAGAAAAATCAGTTAAGTACTCCTTTATAATTTATGCTTTCTCTATTCATAAACACTGTTCCAGTCAGTGCCATGACTTAAAATGCTTAAGAATAAGAAAAATCATTACCTGAGCTTACCTTTCTTCCTCAATGTCACATTCCTATTCTCACTGAAAGTGCAGTGTGTTAATTTACTGTATATAATATATACATATATATCTGTATTACTTATCCAGGGTTAAATACACACACCAATTATTTCAAAGTGACTTCTATTTGCATTGCTTTATCTGAACACAGGTAGTCAAGCAGAGGACCTACTACCCCAGCAGGCTGGGGGGATTTTTGTCTTTTTAAGTTTTGTTTTGTCTTTTAAATGGCAGTTTCCTCACTTGTTGGCTGTCCCCAAAGTAAATTTGGTTTTGCACTGTACTTTTTATGTCGTGTAACAACAAATTATTCACAGAATGGCAAGGGTTGGAAGGGACCTCGGGAGATCATCTAGTGCAGCCCCCCTGCTAAAGCAAGTTCACCTACAGCAGGGTTGCACAGGACATCGTCCAGGTAGATTTTGAATATCTCCAAAGACGGAGATAAACTTTTTCCAATTACTGTTGTAAAACAAAACTAAACACCTAAACTCTATGAATTAATAAAAAAATAACAATTCCTCTTTTACCTCTGTATTTTCTTTCCACAGTTTAATCTTTGAGCTTTATTAATGAATTTAAAACTCTGAGATGGAAATTCCCTGCGGAACTGTTCTACATACATACGCACACAAAAATAATTATTTCAAAATCCCTACCTATGAAGCACGTTGATTAACAGCGTATAGTCCTGGAGGAAATCATCTGCTTGTAGTCGAGTGCCATTTCGAATGCCGAAGTCTGATAACTTCCTGTGGTTATTTGCTAGAAAAATAGTGAAAAACTGCAGTATATATACCTATTTATATAAAGATCCTTTGCACCTGAATAAATACAATGATATGGGTACTCCAGAAGTTTTATGTAGAAACACAAGATTAACATTTATTAGCTGTATTTAAAGTAAAAGCTGACATTTAAGCGTATCACGAGTTAAAATTACTTATGTTTGATTTATTTACCCCTCATGCATCATGTTCAAGCACTTCACTGTTATTACATTTCGGAACGTTTTGGAGTTAATATTTGTATTACAATAGTGCCTACAAGCATCATAAAAAGACCACAATCTAAGAACAAGAAAATGAACAGGAGTTGCTAGCAGAGGAAAGTAACTGGTGCACTTTTATAGCTGAATACCTATTCTTGAAAGGAATCCTGACACTCCAGGTGGAAAGTACTTCATGTAGGAAAGCTGAACTGGACATGCAGGCTTGTAGATAATACCACTAGCTATTCTTGAGCCACTTAAATACTTGCAAATCCAGTTCTCTTCAAATATTAGTCTACAGGATGAACACTAAAACATTTGCTATACTTCCATTATGTATATCTTGGTTTCTTCCTAGTTTTTATCCACTCTTATCTAAAAAGCTTCAGCATGCCTACCTTCTGTTTCTCCTTCTTCTGAAGAGATAAGAATAGTTCCTTTTCCATCATCTATTTGTACATCAGGTGCTACCATAGCAAATTTTTCTTTCACTATCTGTAAAGATGAATATGATTATTTAATCACTATGTGACTTAAAAACAGTTCTAAAAGAAAGAACCTTCAGTTATGTTATTTTCTTATCCTGGCTCATTTTCAGGCCTCTGCTAAAAGCCTGTATATTTTTATTTTTTTTTTTTCACTTCCATGAACAAAATTATATTTTTGCTGTCTGAAACCTACAGGTTCAGATATGCTGAAAATTTTTTTATAAAAATCACAGAATTACAAATCACTTGTGACTACACAACTGTAACGTGGCTACCGAACTATTCAACTGAAATACAAGTTCAGTTTTTTGCTGCTAGGTATGGATAGGCTTTAAAACCACCAAAAAGTTACAAAATACAAACATTCTTTCACAAGATACACAAGCACAAATGAGCAAGAAGCATACTGTCTAACACGGGTCTTCCTGTAGCTGAGAGAAATGCAAAATGTAGAGCAAATATAGACAGCTGATGTCCAGTCAAAACATACTGGACAAAAGCCTAACTTTAATAATGCACAATATTAGAATCACAATAAAAGCTATAGCCAATATTCAAGATTTACCTTATCCTGGAGTGTTAACACAGTAACTTTGTGTACGTTAAGTTTCACAGTCACCTCTGGCTTACTTGCACATACGTAACAGTTAGGATTTGGTGGATCCAAAGCACAAGGAACCAATAGCTTCTTTCTGGGATTTGGCTGCTTGTTCAGAAAAATCTTGAGGACAGATAAAAATAAAACAAGTTATTCTGTAAGTAACTGCCCTCATAAAACCTGTTTTCCTACAGTTTTATTCTCTTAGTCTCATAGGTTGTCCTGTTCCCTATTCCTCTTTGACACGCCTGCTGATCAGGAGAAAGTGCGGATTACGGCCAGTCCGCAGTGACACATGTGCTGACTGACCATTTATTGCCAAAGAGATCTGTAACATGGAACAACCATGTTTCAAGTGAGGTCAGCCTGGTTCTCTCTCCTATCCAGCAGCCATTTTCCATTAATACAGAGGAATTTAATAATTCTTGAGACTTCCACTTCTCTTTTCATTGTGACTGAAAGTTCCCAGCACATTCAGAATCTCCTGAAGCAACAAGTGAGAGACAGTAAAACTACACAATAGTCAAAGCAGGTTAAACGTGACTTTTAAACAAATAATAAATAACAAGAAAGTAAAAGAAACTTATTCAACTTACCGTTCTACACTGATCTATTTTTCCCGATAAAATCTTCAAACCCTCCAGCACTATCAGACCAGCTATTACTGCATTAGTAGTAGCTATAGCTGGGATAATATTTCCTGCCATTGCTACAAAAAAAGGAAGAGTATGCAGATTTTTAACAGGAAATGAAAATGAGAAGTTTAGATTATCATTTAAATAAAACAATGTTATATTTTATCCTTACACTTGATATCAAATCTGCTTTTCATATTCATACTGAAAATATGCATCCTGAGGTTCGCAGCAGAAGTGACAAAATCCATTGCAGAAGGGTCATCCTGACAAGAAGTTAATATAAAAAGTAAAAATCAGATTACTCATTGGAAAACGTTGACAATACATGGTTCCTAAAACCTTAAAAACAGAAAGTTTAAAAAGAAGTCTGTACAATATTCCATTTCAAAGTCAATATACTTCCTCTTTCAGATGGTATGTTTAGACAGAACATTAATACTTTAAATATACACATTTAGAACTTGTACTTAATATTTTAGTAGTGAATTAGTGTATTAGTATTAATAAAATGCCTTGTATGTTCCAAATAGTATCTAAATCCTAAATCTTACAATGTTTTATGCTCAGTTTTCAGAAAGATTTTTACTATCTGGTGCAATACTATTTTGTTCCCCCTGTATTTACAAATTACTTTTTTTTTTCTTATGCCAAATGACAACTGACTGCAGGAAGATTACACTGTCTCTGGTGCTAAAAGAGAAAATTATTTTCTTATTTTTCTTCAGCAAAATTCGTAATATATCACGCCTCTCGTCAGAGCCAGTTACTATGTACAACTCAGTAGAACTCTAGCTACAAACCACTGTATAGGAGCATGTTTTAGAGAAAGCTAAAAAGGAAAAAAATGAAGTTGCATTATTAAAATATTTTCAGAAAATCAAAACATGTCAAATACCTCTGAATTTGTGCCTTTTAAGTTGGTGAATTATTTGACACCACAATAGTTAATCCTTACACTCAGCGTGTTACAACAAGTATTCAAAGTGTATATTTGTTTATACATGGAAAGTGCTTTTAGTGAGGTGCCAGACATTTTTGTCCTAAGTAGTACTATTTTAGAATGAACTGAATGAGTCCAATTAATATTTGTACTACACATGTAGAGTATAAGTGGTTCTTACGTATTTAGCAAACTAACCTTATCCCATATGAGCTCTGCTCCATCACCCTTCTCAGCCAGGTTAAGTCTCAGGGTTTCAACACTCTTTGAAAATAAGTGTGCATAGCTCTTGACATCGAGAACCTGCTGATCCTTCAAGACTGCTGAGGATTCATTTTGTTGGTCAGATATGTTTTTCTCTTTGGGAAAAGACAAATAAAATTAAAATCAGGAATACTTATAAATCCCACAGAAGTTCTCTTAAACAAGTAAGAATTTTCCAATTTCAGCAAAACTAAACACTTTCTAAATTGAAGAACAATATCCTTAACTACAGTAGCCCAAACATTTTACAACAAATCTGCATTTAAAACTGCAACTATAGCTACACTTATATCAATCACTTAGATATACACAAATTACAGCAAATATACATTTTCAGCAAAACTCAGCTTTCAGATATAAATGCATCAGTGCTTATGGTAAGGTCCCCCCCTAGAATATGCTGACATGTAATTCTGTTAATTTTCTACAGCCAATACTGAGTATCTAAATAACAAATGCAAAACAGTTCTAGAAAAAAATTGAGAAAAATTTAAAATCTTCAGAAATTGCAAAGAATTTGCATGTTCATTAACAGTCATCAACTGTGACAGTGAGAAAATGTACATATCATGGAGATGCATTAATAAACAGCAGCTATGACTTACAAATATACAGTGGGAGGAGGGACAATTACCTTGATTTTGTACCTCAGCCCAGTCCAGTGGCACTGGAGGCTTTCTTTTTCTCCACAGTTTATCCATTGTCAGTAGGTATCTAATGTCATCTTTGAAAAGCTAGGAAACATTTAAATAAAAAAAAAAAATGGAAGGGGGAAAAAAAAAAAGACAGACTTTATTTTTACATGTGCTGTGAGATTGAAAAATCAGTATTAGATTTACAAGGTTTTGCTTTTCTCCTTGAAAATGTCTGCAACCACATAAATAAAAATCAAACTCTGCAGGAAAAAAAAATATTCGAAAAACTTATTTCCCCATTCTCTTAACACTTACTGCATAAAGCAGATTAATTTGTGGGGGAGTAAAGTAAATATCAAGAAACAATAGTCCAAACAGTGGGTTCATGTGCCTACTGAAGCCATCGCTACAGCTCTCTGTATACTCTCCCTAAGATATTCTTACCTACATGCCAATGAATTTCCAAAGTAAAGTTATGATTACATTCTATACTCATTTCCTCTATTTATCTACTTCCAGCAACTATTTAGAAGGAAAACTCCTACGCCAGTTTGTATTTTCTTATGCCAGAGCCTGATCATACACAGAAGACGACTGACAGCTTTTAGGTCCTCAGATTGGTTCTGATTATACCCAGTGAAACTCCTACAGAATTCAAATTTACCTTTTCATATTAAAAGTAATTAAAATGATTTTTTTTTTCTGTACACTATGGACAAGCTGCTGAAGCCATCTGTACAGATGCAGATGGAATGCCATAAAACAAGCAAGTGTTGTAGAAGGACCAACACTACAGCAAAACTTGTGGAAGTCATAACATAATTGCATAACTGATTGCATTGTGTCCAAACTGGGTTTTGACTTAACTTCAAAGCACCTCATACACTTCAAATAAAGACATTTATTGGGGTTAAAGAAGGTACCTTAGTGAAAAGTTTAACTGGATCGTATCCAGTTGATTTAGCCCACTCCTTAGTTGAAACACGTTTAATCTCACCATCTTCATTGGATGCTCGTGCTCTGGCTTCTGCTTCTGCTGGCTCCCCTATTAATGAAGTGTTAACCAATACTTTAATTCAAAAAAAGGAAAATCACATCCAAATATTTCCCCTAGAGTCAATAACCAAAATTATGCAGGGACCATAAAATGGTTTTACTGCACCCAACAAAAGCTGAATTAGACACACTGTGATGACTACTGTTTGCTTCTGCAACTGCAACTCACTAATTTAACTTGATGTCACCTAATTCCTTTATTGGCAGAAACAGTGAACAATTGTTTCCTATTAATTTTCTCCACATAATGTTGCAATTCCATAAATCTCTAACCATCTCCTTTTAGTTGTCTCTTTTCCCAGCTGAAGAGTCTTAGTTTGGTTAGAACTTCCACATGGGGGCGGGGGGAATCAGCTTCCTACCTCTGGTTATTCCTATACAAAACCATTCCACGCATACAGCTGCTATTCATTTTGTTTCTTTCCCAGTCACATCCAACAATTGCTATCATGATTCCTAATAAGTAGCAGGTTGATGTTTTCATAAAACTATTTATTAACATCTTGACTGAATAAGAAAAATCAACTCAGAGACCATCAATTTTTATGTAAATTTGTGAATGTTTTCCCCCTTTCACCAGTGCATCATTTGCATAATTTCGTATTTATCTGCACCAAATCTACCTAACGTGCCACTGCCCAGTCAATTCTGTATTGTGAGGCTTTCTACTACTTTTTGCAGTTAGTCCTCACCTTTATTATTCTGAGTGACTTTGCTTAATCATGTATGCTGAACAGCGCTAGTCACATCCCCAATCTGAGACATTCCTCTATTCACCATTTATCTCTATCATTTAAGTAGTTTATCCACTTTCGGATCTTCAACCTTTTCCTCCCCCCCATGACTGCTTAGCTCCTTCAGGTTCCCCACAAAAAGTTTTTGAGTGCCCCCTGCAGATTCAACACACCATAAACCAGATATGCTTGGTTTGCCAATTCCTTCAAAGCACCTGCAAAGCCATGCAAGGCACTTCTCTTTACAAAGGCTGCATTGATTGACTCTTCCCTGACACACCATGTCCACTGATCCTAAATAGCATTAATGCTACAGTTTGCTCATACAGACATGAGGCTACAGCTCAGGCCTTCCTATAATTGCCCTGGTATCTTTGCTTAAATAAGTGGCATCATGTCTGCTACCTTCCAAGTATTCCAGCAGCCTTTGTTTTAAATGAGCTTATATGCCACTCTTTTCAAGACTCAGCTATTTCATTCTGCACTTCCTGTAGGAACAACTGGTTGGATGATCACTATCTTCAGAGAACCTGAAGATCTGGAAGATCCTCTAAGTTCCCTCTCCCAAGTCCATTCATCTATCAAAGGATCCAAAAGAAGCAACAAACAATGATGCTTATTCACCTTCACAGTAACTAGTTACTGTCCTTACAGAAAAATACTGAATAGCTACTGAATACATCACTGAAAATGGGCGTATTTCCTATGTAGATTATTAACATTGAAGTGTTTCAGGCTAGAAGAGTTCAAACACAATCCCCGTATTTCCTTTCAATTCCTCAGCTAGGAGTGGAAAACGCAGAGTGACTGCAAATATCACTCAGTTCAAAAGACAAGGCTCTCAGCTGCAGGGAAGGAAGTGCTCCATCAGATCCAAATATATAGGGGAATAAAGGCCACCCTGTGAAGATCAGTTATATTTAATTTGCGCTTCAAGCTCACTTTTCACTTCAAGTTTCTGTGCACATGGGGAAGACTGTTTGCTACAGAGGGAACAGGAGTCTCCAAACAGATATAAGCCTATTCATCTAAATCATCTATCTTACACCTGGATGTGTTAACTGAAATTTTATGGTTAGCGAGTGCATCGATTGTGTTCCTCACAGCTGTCCTACCCACACTATCTGAGAACAAGAAGTGAATGCCAGTGACCCATCTTACACTGTATTAAGAAGTTTTCACAACAGCTGAAGTAATCATTTTAATAATAATGTTTTAGGCTGCCCACAAGGGCCACAGTTCTGACAGGTGAAACTATTAAACCATTGTCATTTTGAAGAGCATTTTTTTTTTTACACATTCCCCATGCAAAAACCTCTGGTATGCACTATGCATCACATTAACTAAAAACCACTCAAATTGTTTCAAATATTTAATAAGTGGCAGTGTGACGGAACTGAATTATGCACAATGTGCATGAAGGTCTGTAAGGGGAAACTACTATTAACACCCCCCAAACTCTTGTTGTCCAAGGGTACAGTAAATGGAATCCTCTTAAAAGAAAAGGGAGCTGAACAGAAACAAGTCATCATCTCTGAAACAGAACATTTCAGTAACAGGGTAAGCTACCAGCTTATATCACACTCACAGGCAGCTTCAGGATCAGCTCTGTCAGGAGAGACTTCTTGATCAGCATCTTCTTCTCCAAACAACTGGCTATATAATAATTAAGAACAACAACACAACACTAGAATGTCATCATATCTGATTAAAGACTGAAATATTTGCTAATGGATATATATCCACTTTAGAATTTTTGCTATCAGAGTGCCACTTCATGCATTGCTTTTTAAATTGTTGGGATTCATCACATGTGGACTTAACACTGAAAACACAAAATGTCCAATACAAAAATGAATTTAGCAAAACAGTTCTGTATAACTCAATAGTTCAGTTCACTTAGCCTTATATTTATACTGCGGTACCAAATGCGTTGCTTATAACCCTCCACGGTCCCAGCAAATTTTACATCTGTTAATATATGCATTAAACTGAAAAATGTGTTAACTTCACACAAAGGCGAAGAATAAAGTAACCTCAAGCTACACTGCTGTGCCAAACTACTCTGCCAGATTTTCCGTGATATTAGAGCAAGGTCTAAGTACTATCCAACCTTCCATCTTTACATTAAAAGGGAAAAAACCTACTCCCAAAAACCCACCCCAAAAT